GACATCAGACTCATCACCTTCTCCAACGACGAAGAGATTATGGCCATTTTTTGTAATGCATCCAAAAGGTAACCTAATTCCTCCTTCTGAGCCGAGTAAAAGGTTCTCAGACTCATCACCTCCTCCACCAACGAAGGGATTATGGCCATTTTTTGTAATGCATCCAAAAGGTAACCTAATTCCTCCTTCTAGACCAAGTCAAAGGTTATCTAACTCATCACCTCCTTCATCAACAAAAGGATTATTGCTCTTTTTTTAGTGCATCCAAAAAGTAACCTGATTCCTCCTTTTGGGCCGAGTTAAAGATTTTCAAACTCATCACTTTCCCAGCACATGTTCCATAAGTCATATTTAAGAAAGAAACGAAGATCAATTTTTAAATGCATCTAAAATAACTACCTTATCAACCATCTTTCCCATCACAATCCTGTTATTTAGAAATCTCATCACTACTTATAATACAAGTGTTGATAATTGAGGTGCCTTCCTTTACTATAGCCACTTGAATATACATATTTACCTCTAAGTTTGTAATTTTTAAATTATGTCAAAATAAAAACATCTATTTTCTTTTTGTTATCTCAAAAGTTGAATGCTTCGCCTTACACTTGTCCTACTAAAAGCATTATGTCAAATAACTATAATTTTATATTTTAAAAAGAAATTAATAATTGTAATAAATTACATACCATATATACTCGATCTGACCAAAGCGAGACCAACTTGAACAGAGGTCTTGTGCATGAAGTATGCTTTCACAATCCTACTCTTAGTTCCGTTCAACGTCTAACTTAAACATTGAAGTGTGTTAGAACTTAGAATTATCACCCTACTGGTGCGCAGATTTCATTTTGCATGTAGTGTTCATTCAGTGTATTTGACATTGAAGTCAAAATCCAAAATCCTTCATCAAGTTATTATATATTTACATTAATACATCGAAGAAATAATATAAAAATCAGGAGAAAAAAATTATATTAAAATTTTGATTTTTCTAAAAGCCCTATTTATTCATTTAATCACATGGGATTAAATCTAAATTTTATAATTAAAAGGAAAAACATCTAATTTTACCCTAAACTTGGTTGGTGTATCAACTTTTACTATAAAATTTCAATTTCATTGTATTGCTTTAGACCAGAATAAATGTTACAATTTAAACTTTTTTTTTTATTTGATATGAAATTGAGGGAAAAAAACATTAGAGTGGGATGTTTTATTCTTCTTTTTATTATGAATTTGTAAATATGTAAAGTTATTTAATAGTCGATTTTGTATACTAATCAAACTAAAATTTATGCTATGCTTTATCCTCGTTAAATTAATAAGTTCTTGCAGTGTTTTTTTTTTAATTTTATTTTCATTTATTTTGTTGTTAAATTAGTAAGAGAATAAACAAAAATTGAATATATGTTAAAAATTACAACACTTATCTAAATTTAGGCTTCAATCTCGTCACTCGCTTACATTTTTTAGCATCTTCTCTTTGTAGTTTTCAGCTTTCTAAGTTTAGTTTGGTTTATATTTTAATTTTCAGCTTAGTTTTTAATTATTTTATATTGTGTACACCTTTTCTTTTATTAATGAAAATAATTCTTTTCTCCTTTCATCTATTGAAATTTTCTTTATTTATATCATGAACTAATTTTATTTTTCAATCCGTCCATAAATATATTAGCTTATATTCTTGTAGACTGCAATTATTAAGGATCACGACACTCAGCTTCCTTATTGCCTGACTTGATTGATTGAGTTTTATAATTGATTTTTTTATTGGTCACCTAAATAATCACGTGAGTTTTAGTCTGAATGTTAGAATAAAACAAATTTTATCAAAATAAAACCGAGAGTAGCTTAGAAATAAAGTACTAAAACAAGAATCTAAATATAGGATCTCTTGCCCGTTAAACAAAAGTCGAAGCTCAAATTATTTAGGATTCTAGTGTTTCATAGACATATGTAAGTGCTAGTCTAAACTCCTAAACAACTAAAAGAGATGGATTTGTCATGTACTTCCATAGCATGGACACATGAAATAGCCTAAGCTCCAATTATTGCTTGTCCACTGACCATGTGTCTATAAGTTTGACATCAAGATGAGGGGCAAATTGACATTTACATAGTATTAAAAAAAATCGACAAAATATGAAAAATATCACCAGTAGACATAATATTAACATTAATCATTTTAAACTTATTTAGAAATAATGAAATGCTTTTTTGCTAATTTAAATGTTTTTTTACGAATTTTTTTATTTTTATAACGTTTTAAAAAATATCAATCGACATCGATATTTACATCGCTATTTCCATAAAATCTAAACCTCCAACATTGATATCGACAATTAAAACCTATTAAATTTTATAAAAACACCGACATTTTGATTGATATAAATAATAAGAAACAAAAAGTTGAAGATGAAACCAAAATGAAGGTTTAATTGGATGAAATTGCAATGGAAAAGTTAGCCTTTAAAATTGATTCACTATCTTCGATTTAGGAGTAAGAATCGAAGAATTGTTGGATAATGATTTCATCTTTTGTTTTCTATTTTTATAAATTACGTTGGGTTACTCACTCCCTTTAAAATACATTGACTCCTTAATCAAATTCCAAAAACGAAAACAAATATTTRAAACCTACTTTTTTTAATCTTCAAATTTTGGCTTAATATATATATATAACAAAAAGAAACACACACGTTGATGGAAAAGGGAAATTTGTTTTCTTAGTCATATTTACTGACCTCTAAAATTTGGGGGCTATTTATTTATTTTTTTTAAACAAAGAAAATTATCCTTTTTTTCTATATTTTTTTTAATGCAAAAGGGAATTTTTTGTAGGAAGGAAAAAAAAAAGTGGAGTAGATAAGATGTGGATAGAAAGAGATGAGGTGAAGATACTTAAAATCTTTAGAAGGCTTGTGATTGGCTAACACAACCCTCTCATTACCCCCACAAAAATTTCTCAATCCTTCAATTCAATTCTCCACCACCCATTTGTTTCATAATATTCCCCCACTGCGTCCTTCTCTCTCTCACTTCCACCGCAGCCCTTCTCAGAACCATCCACAGAGAGCTCCAATGGCCGCCACCGCCACCTCCACCGCCCTTCTCCGGCCGACCCCTTTTCTCGGCCAGGCCAGAGGGTCGCCGCAGAACCCCCTCAGAGATGTCGTCGCCATGGGGACTGCCAAATACACCATGGTCTCATCTCTCTGTAGATTTCTTTCTTTTTGTGCGACTCTGTTTTGTTTTGTTTTTGGGTGTTGAAGAAACTAATTTTTAAATCGTTGTGAAATAGGGAAATGATCTGTGGTATGGGCCGGACAGAGTGAAGTACTTGGGGCCGTTTTCAGCCCAGACTCCGTCGTACTTGAACGGAGAGTTCCCAGGCGACTATGGATGGGACACTGCTGGGTTGTCCGCTGATCCAGAGGCCTTCGCCAAGAACAGAGCTCTTGAGGTAATTACTAATTTTGTCCCAAATTTGCTTTTTCTGTGGTGAAATTATTAGTAATTTGATCCAATGGTGTTAAATGGGTTGATAATCGGGTCTTCTTGAGCCTTGAATCTTGAATCTTTAATGGTTAAAAGGCCTAGAGAGTACGGACACGGACAGGTTACCACAAACCGGTAGTTATTGGAGTCACCATTTCTTTAATTTGAAGTGATTGATCCTGATCTTTTGAATCCATCTTTTCAAACTATACATATGAATGATAGGATTTCAGAAAAATAAGCCTTTGACTTAGCTACCGAATCCACGCGGCGATTTAACGTTTTGAGTTCAGTTGTGATTCATCATAGCACTAGAACAAGAGGTTTTATGTTCGAAGAGATGTAGAGTTCATTTTTTTTCTAATTGATATTGATAACGATTTATTTGACCATATGCATATTTCTAAACTGTGTCGAGAAATGATTAAATTCACGGTAATCCATTCGCTTAAGCTTTTGTACTCAATGTGATTGTATAACAAAGAGAACGAAATTGCAGGTGATCCATGGGAGGTGGGCAATGTTGGGAGCTCTAGGGTGCATTACGCCGGAAGTGCTGGGAAAATGGTTGAGAGTGGAGTTTAAAGAGCCAGTGTGGTTTAAGGCTGGTGCCCAAATCTTCTCGGAGGGTGGGCTGGACTACTTGGGCAACCCAAACCTGGTCCACGCCCAGAGCATCCTGGCCGTGCTAGGCTTCCAAGTGGTGCTAATGGGGCTCGTGGAGGGCTTCCGCATCAACGGCCTCGATGGTGTCGGTGAAGGCAACGACCTCTACCCCGGCGGGCAGTACTTCGACCCCCTCGGCCTGGCCGATGACCCCACCACATTCGCTGAGCTTAAGGTCAAGGAGATCAAGAACGGGCGGCTCGCCATGTTCTCCATGTTCGGGTTCTTTGTTCAGGCCATTGTCACTGGAAAGGGCCCACTTGAGAACCTTCTCGACCATTTGGATAACCCAGTGGCTAACAATGCTTGGGTTTATGCCACCAAATTTGCGCCAGGTTCATAGACACACATTCAATCTGGTGGGACTGGGAATTCAACAATTTGAAGTTTGTGTAAATTGTTTCTACTTCCTTTTTGGTGTGAATGTGATTTATTAGAAAGTTGAGTAACTTGGATCAATGGACATTCCCACTTGATCGAATGAAGTTTCTTGATCTTACTTCGATGATTGAATTAAATCTAATTTAATTAATATAAATAAAATTAGATGTGTGAACATAGACGAATTATTACGTTGACCTTATTAACTCCTCAATACTTTTCGTTACATATCTAATTCTAATTCAATCTTAATAGTATCTAATTATATTTTAGTTTATAATCTATCCGATTAGTTGGTTCATACATCAAGTCACTTCGTCTAAAATTGACCGTTTGTTCATGTGGTGTTAATAGTGACAAAAATTTAAGGCAACTATAATTTAAAGTTTTTTTTTTTTTTTTTGACTTCAACTATAATTTAAAGTTGGTTAGGTAGATACAGTGTTTAAAATATAAAATTTTGTATTTTAAAAAACAATTTGATAGATTTAAATCTTATTTGGGTCATTTTTAAGTGTACCTAAAGTTTTGAAAAAGATCCAAAATTTTATTAGAATTATATTGTAAATGGATGAAAATTGTAAGGACGAAAATAAAATTTTTAGATTGGTGGTAAATTGGATAAGTGTGAGTTAATAAAAGCTATGAAAGAGATTGTCGTTGAAAATAAGTTTACTCGTATTACAAATAAGAGTGACTCCTTGATTTAAAGAAAATATCATAAGATATAACTAGGCAATTAGGACATCTTGTTACTTATATGAGAAATAAGAGTGACTCCATGATTTAGAGAAAATATGATAATATATAACTCGACAATTAGGACATCTTGTTATTTGTAAGAAAAGGAAAGAGAAAATGTCATAAATAATATACTTGAAATGGAAGAGATGTGAGAACCTCATTCTAAAGAGAGCATAGTCAAGTTACAGGACTTGAAATAGCAGATCTATATTAACCTATTTACCCTCACGTCCAAAAACAAAAATACCTGTATTCCAATAATATTGACAAAATGTAGAATTTTACTTGATAACAAAATAAATGATTTTGTTTTCATTATTTAGTGGATAAATCATTTACGTTATTTTATTTTTTATTTTTTGTTTTAACAAATTAAGTTTGTAAACATTATTTTCATCCATATATTTCTTTATTTTGGACATAATTTTTAAAATTTAAACTAAATTTAAAAACTAAAAAATGTACTTTCAAAAATTTGTCTTTGTTTTTTAATTTTAGCTCAGAGAGGGTATATTTGTCAAAAAAAAAAAATAGAAGATAATAATTTTGGCCATTCCATTTTAATGGTATATCTATCTAAATTAAATTAGAGAATTGAATTATAATTACCCCTTAGCCATTATAGTAATTACCAGATACTTTTGGTTATTTTTCAGAACGAATATATATTTTGGCCATTCCTCTTATCCCAAATTTACGGGACTAATTCGCGTTTGAAAGCAGTTGGGCTTAAGGCCCAATAATGTGACAGGCCCATCTAACATTAATGGGCCAATAAAACAAAGCCTACGTACATAATTACACGTCGTTCAAATTCAACTGGAAGTGTCGATCGTCGTCTGGTTCTGGCATCTTGCTTTTCGTCTTTAGGGTTTTGGTCGTCAATCTCCGCAGCTCTCATCTCTCAGCACTGGCGAAGAACAAGAATAAGAAGAAGCGCAGTGGCGCTACTTCAATGGACCTAACTGAAAATACCGTTGTCGATCTCCCCCAAGGTACCTTCTGCTTTTAATGCAACGAATTTGGCCGCCTTTGTATCAATATAGAATGAGCATTGTGTCCTTCAGATGTTCTTAAAGACAGTTTGGAACTCGTTCTTCGTCTTAATATTTGGTTTCTTTGAATAGTTTAGCAGTTGAACTAATTTATTTTCTCCTTGAATTTACAGCGATGGATGTTTCCGAGTCTGGAGTTCACAAACCAGTTTCTGGCGGTCTCAATCTGTAAGTTCCTTCCTGGGAATTATTGTTGAAGTTTTAATTCAATGGTTTGGGACAAAGGTTCACGCCGATTCATTCTGCATTTTTGTTTTTGTTTTCGAGTCCTGTGTTCTCAGTTTCTCTTTTCTTAGATTAATTGGATTTGTGGCTGCGAATATAATGATCGTAACTTCTGATTGGAGTAGGAGAAAACTTTTGGTTCCATACCTACTGCCTTTCATATTTAGCCATATTATGTATGATAATATAATTTACTGGGTTGTATATAACTTTAAATGCTAATTACATGGCTAAAAATTGTACAAGTACTATTTTCTTGATAAGGAAAAATGTGGGGAAAAAACTCTTCAGTGGTCTATCTTGGTAACCCGAGTTCATCTTTTTCTTTTATTTGATAAATTGTGAGAAAAGCATCTTATTCTGATCATAAATTCTTTGGAGTTTTATTTTTATGCTTTCCTTCTCACCAAATGTGTATGTTTTTTGCCTGAGATTGTGGATTGTATTTCATGTATTAATATTTTCAAAATGACACCATGATAATGTTTTATACACTTAAGGGTAAGGAGAAGTACTTTATTCTGGGTTTCCTTCAAGAACATTTCATATACTACTGTTGTAAGAAGCATCTAATGCACATCCCTCTGATTCAATAAAGACAACAATGAAACCAAAAAAAAAAAATTCAAGTGGCAACAGTAAATCATAAATGGAAGTAGTGCCGAAGTTTTCCTATTATTGTAGCCCTTGATACTTTTCTCTTTACTGTATTGGTAAAATGTAAAATGATACAATTGGTCTGGATTGTATTGAAGATGATGTTTCTCCATATGTGAAAGAACGCCTTTGCATTTCAAGTGGTGTGATGTTCTAACATGTAATGCCTTAAAGATTATGATTGAAACCCAACTTATGTTTTCAAAGACTTTCTTCACCTCCGAATGCCTGCTATATTCTGGCATTTGATCTAGAATTTGTTGAAATCCCAGTCATCATTGACTCTGGAAATGGTTGAGTAGTAAGAATCCTTTAATACCATTCAAACAAGAAGTTTTCTGTTTGATTGTCTATATCTCTCTCTCAATCTCCATTTTGAATGCTCTGCATTTTTCCTGTTTCAGCCACAATTTCTAATCATTACTCTTTGTTGTAACAGAAAGTTGAGGAAGGGAAGACCAATGAAGCGATCACAGAATGTTAGGAAAACGAAAGCCATGGCAAAGGCCATATGTAAGAGCGAGCAGTCAGCCGAGAAAATAATGAAAAATCAGAGCAAAACTACCAGAATACAATCTGCAAAAACGTTGTACGAATGATATATTTAGCCAGCATGATTTTTGTAGAAATATGGCCTCAAATTGTAAAATTGATTTAGTTTTGTCTCCTTTATAGGTTTTTATTTATGTTACTTTCTCCACTTCATTAAGTGCAGCGAACCATGCAAGGTTTTATATTATCTTAATCTAAAATTATATTCGTTGATTCTCTCTCAGGCTCTCTCTGTTCTTGCTCCCTAAGGTCAACTTGCCTATAACCCTACATCTCTTGGTTGACTCTTTCAGTTTCACTACTGTCCCTGCAAAGTTGAAAGGGAGAGTTCTCCCCCAAGGACATAGACTCTGATTTTTATGGAGTTTGGGAAAGCTTAGAGGTGCTCATGGGCTCAGTTCAGTGGTAAATTTATTCCACTCGAATAAGCTTTATTAAATAATGAAATAATTGTTTAAGGACAACGGTCAAGTATTTTCATAATTGTATGATATTGTTCGCTCTCACCATTAAGGATTTCTTTCACGTATTATCATGACTCTAATGCCATTTGTTTAGGGCAACGGTGTTTTTGAGATAATTGTCCGCTCTTATAATAAATCAATGTTTATTTATATGGTGAAAATTTGGATTATAAAAACTTAAAAAAGTTATTAGAAAATAAATAATTCATAAATAATTATTGAATGAAATATAATTAAAATAAATGTATTCATGTTTTAAAATTAATAATAAGTTAAAAGATGGTTTGATTCAACTCAATTTTATTTTAGGCGAATATTTAAACTAATCTAATTCAGATATAGGATTTTTAAATAAGAAATGCGAATGAAATTCACTGTAATCAAGAGGTTGTGAATTTGATTCCCAYTTTCACGTATACTTAAAAAAATATTTTGTTATTCAATTTTTTTATTTTAAAATTCGATTTAAGTTTTCTATTATGTAACTTAAACCATTATCACCTAGCCGTCTTAGCTCAGTGGTAGAGCGCGTGGCTTTTAACCACGTGGTCGTGGGTTCGATCCCCACAGACGGCGACAATGAATTTTATTATTTTTTCACCTTTTTATTCCTTCTTATTTGTAAATTAGGGCTCTTGATAGTTGAGAGCAAAATTCAATTCAATTTAAACGTAAAAATTATTTGAAAACTGGTGTTATTTATTTAAGAATACGAAGAATGGACTGAAAATTTTGGAGGCAAAGCCAATCAAAACAAGAAATCATTCTCTCGCTTTCGTTATTTTCTTCCACTTTTTGTTTGTTCTGCTTTGTGGGCAAAACAAAGCTCTGCGAACTACCCAATCCGAAAATCCCAGGTTTGATTTTCTTCCGTCCTCAATTCCAACTTTCGTAGTTCACTCTTCACTTATTTCCGGAGTTCTTCCGTAATTCTGCAGATGAGTTTGGTTATGAGCCATTCTGGTGGTTTGGGCATCAATTCCATCATAATCTCAAGCTCTAAACGTTTATATAGCAAGACGCGAGGTAATAATTTTAATTTGGTTGTCTCTTCCTCTCTTCTGTTCCTTCTAGATAGGATAAATTCTGTTTTTTCTTTGGTTATGTAACTATGGTAGTGGCGAATGTTTAGAATTTGAAAAAGTGCCTGAATGACTGAACCCATAATTTCTAGAATTGGATGCACGCAAGCAAGCTCACACATGGGTAGGAACTAGAATTTTAATCTTACTGAAAATGACATAGGATATACCAGTTGATGACGTTGAGAAGTTTTGGGTTGAATCCGACATAAATTATTTGGTATTGAATGATATTTTCAAGGGGCGAATTTAAAGCAAATATTGCGAGATGAATAGGTGGGGGATGTTTTGATCACGATGTACCCAATTGTTTTGCTAGGTAAAAATGTCATGCCCATGAAATTGCTAGGGAGACAATCAGCAGCTGAGGATCGAAGTAAAGATATTGAGCTAGTGGAGAATAAAAACAGTAGCAGACATTTTCAAGCCATGGCTTTTGTAAATGTGATTTCTGGTAATGTTTCTGCTCTCTGCTTCTGGTGAAAAACTGTTTTTTTTTGGATAAGAAACTTTATATTAGAAAAACTCAAAAGGGGAACAGCCTAAGGGCTGGGGTAGAGTCAACCCCACCCAGAGAAGCTATACAAAGAAAAACTGTTATTTTTCCTTCTTAATCTCTCTCTCTCTATACAATTGTTAGTAAACTTTTTTCTTCTGCATGATTGAGCCATAAATGAGTGAGAACTTACTTGAGATTTGCTTTGTATTTCCTGTTTGGAATTCCAGAAATTGTTGAATCTCTACCTGTAACTTTGAGAAATGGCTTGTCGCCTTATATTCTACAACAGAATTTGCATAGAAGAATCTAGCAGAATTTTATCACTGCTTGAGTTTCTGACAATTTATAATTATGTCCCGTGACAACACATATGATCCTGTTTTGATTGATAGTTTGTGCATTAAATAACTGTTTAGAAAATTAAATAAAACTTTATCTATTGATTATTCATAAGCAATAAAATCTATAGTAATAAACCACCTCATATTATTCTCTCATCCTGTTTTATACTCCCAGTAAAATAGGCTGTACTTGATCTATTTAAGAATTAAGTACATCTGGAGCTTCAGCCCTGTTGTGGTTACTATGCATATTCTTAATTCTATTTTATTCTCAATATCTCCAGCGACAAATTTCCTCGTAGTAGAAGCAGCAAAGGCTGAAACTTTAAAAGATATGTGGGTAAGATTTTATGTTCTTAGCCTGTTTTCTAAAGCAATCTGATCTTGTTCACAACTATATCTACATTATTTTAAGATTTTTCTTCCCCGAATCCATTTATTTAATTCTTTTCTAAAATTCTGAAATTTGTTTTTATGCCAATTACCAAAGCTTCTTGATGAAATCTATGTGTATTTCTATTTTCCCTTGGACATATAGTCATTAGATATTACTTTATTTGTATGTAAGTCCCAATTGTCTATTGTATACTTTGGATGACAAAGATTTTGCTTATTTATTTTTTTTGGGGTGGGTATGGGTACGGCAGATAAAATAATGGTTAAGTAATTATGACTGGAAAAGAAACAAAAGCTTGGTAAGAGGGCCGCTCTTTAGTATTACTCGCCATATTATTTTGCTTGCTTAAGATGTTGGTATTCTGTCAGTTGGAAATGATGGAAACTAAATTAGTCTGCCTGCATATTATGCTTCATTTATAACTGTATATTATATCAGGAACTAGAATTATTTTCCTTCAAGTCAGGAAGGAGCTGCTTCTGTTTACACTTTGGCTGATGGTGGCATTGGAGATTGGTTTGGAAGCTTCTTGTATTCAGCTGGACAACAGGCTAACGTCGCAGTTCAGGATCAGCTATCTGCTCTTAGTTTCACTAGGTTCAGTCTTGTGCTTTTGCTGCCCTTTATTGTTCCAAGTTTTCCAATGATTTAAGTTTGACAGTAAACAGCTCTTTTGCTCTGCTTTTCACCTTATTCCTCTTTACAGTTTGGCAGTAATATTTGGGGCAGGATTTGTAACCAGCCTTTCCCCTTGCACACTGAGTGTTTTGCCTTTGACCCTTGGTTACATAGGTAAGCATTTCATTGACACTGTTTTTCAATCTTGGGTTCTAGTGGGAGTCTTGTGATAATTTGGTGATTCAATGGAACTTTTTAGGAGCTTTTGGATCAGGAAAGAGCAAAGCAGAGGTAAATTACTTTCTAAGTTCCATTTTTATCCTCATGCTTTGCACAGTCGTAGAAATTAGTTTCAAATTGCAGAAATTTTTGAATCAGTTGATATTAAAACAAGCTAGGAATAGACCAGAAAAGGGGTGGCACTGGTGGTAAGTCTCAACCCCTAGGTTAAGAACTTAGCAACGTGAAGTCCATGTTGTCTTTTCGGAGCTGCCTCCTAGCATTAGCGGAAGTGGGCCATGAGCATATTGCTTGAGCAGGACCTTTGACACTCCCGTTACAGAAAAAGAAAACAGAAGTAGAAATAAATTGATTCAATGGTTCTATTGTGCCAAAAAGAATATCAGAATTTAGATAGTGAGCTACAACCAACACCAACCCCCTTCTATCTTGAGAGCATTTCTATTCAAATCCGTGACCATTCTGCTTGACGCTCAGGATGACTGTGCATTCTCATGCGAGATAGCTTCGGTAGAAATTGTTAAACTTTCGGCCGATGGTCTGTCCTTCATCGAGAAAAGACAATTGATTTGAATTTAGTCTCTTCATATTTTCAGGTTGTTGGAAACTCTCTTGCTTTCTCATTAGGACTTGCCACAACATTAGCGCTGTTAGGCATAGCAGCTTCTTTTGCTGGAAAAGCATATGGACAGATCGGCCAGGGGTTACCATTGGCTGCTTCAGGCTTAGCTGTTATTATGGGCTTAAACCTACTGGAGGTACTCATTAAAGCTTGATTATTTGTATCAGGTATAAAAGTGAGAAATGCTTGAGGGAAGAGTTGAACTCTCCCTTCTTTAATCATTTAGCATCTGGAAACTTTTTGACTGAAATTTTTGCTTAATGTTTCTAAATTATAATTCATAACTTCATAAGAATATCAATTCATGATATGAAACTCTGTCCTGGAGTTATTGTTATTATTATTTCTTTTGATGATTAACAACAGGCATGGTACAAAGATTGAAGGGTACTTTTAAGAGGCACTTTGGAATTACTAACTGTTCATCACATTCTGTAGAAAAAATAGTTAAATTTGTCTCATTTTAAATGGTTTTGAGTTTCACTCCTTTGTAATTAGGTTAAAAAACATATTTAGGACATATTTACATTGGAGTAATGATTTAGTACTTAAACTTTAGTACGTAACAATTTAGTTCCTATGGTTTAAAATTTATAATAATTTAGTCCCTACCATAAAAAACTCGTTAAGGTGTAATGAGGTTCCATATGTAGATAGATCAATTTCTCAGAGTTCAAAACGTCTTTTTAAATTATAGGCATTAAATCGTTACATACTTAAAATCAATATTTTACCTTGATAGAATTTTTCAAAGTAGAGACTAAATCATTATAAATTTTAAGCTATAAGAACCAAATTGTTACATGTTTAAGGACTAAATTGTTACAAATGACAAACTATGGGGATTGGATTGTTCTATACTAAAAGTTTAGAGTGTAAACTTTTAATTCAATGAAAGTGTAAGGACCGAATGTGTTTCTTAACCTTTGTAATTACGAGGGTGGCTCGTAGAACTTGATAACTAAGTACTCAAATTGATATTTTACCAAGTTCTTTTTGGTTTGGTCTTCTGATGGATTGGTTCTGTACTTGGTCATGAATTGCAGATAATTGAGTTGCGACTACCCTCATTCTTCGACAATTTCGATCCCCGTTCCGCCGCTGCCAACTTTCCATCAAGTAATTGGCCCCTCCATTTCTTATGACCACTTGCTCATTCATTTAAATGCTCTAACAAGCTTTTAAATCTAATATATTAGGTGTGCAAGCATATCTAGCTGGGCTTACATTTGCTTTGGCTGCATCCCCTTGCAGTACTCCTGTGCTGGCTACTATACTTGGATATGTAGCTACATCCAAGGTGCCTTAAATCGCTTCTTATGCTGATTTGATTTTTTGATCTTAGCTTCAGTAGATCTAATCATGTAAATAATTCCTTAAAAAGAAAAAAATCCGCGAAATTCAAAAAGACCCGTCTGATATCAACCTGTTGCTGTTTTGATTCAATTTATGCTTTTTTGCCATATTATACACAAGGGAGAGTAGGGAATGTGAAGAAAAAAATTTAAGATAGATTCAACAAATGTGTATGCGTCTCCCATAAATGTATATTTTCTTCCATGAAATGAATGGAAAATATGGGATCAATGTAACCTCATTGGTAGTAAGATGGTAGGCCACCTTACGAAGGGCTAGGGATGGTTAGTGATGCATTCCTTAAGTTTTGGGTTTATTACGAACCATGATAGGTTGGCATACTAGTCAATAAAGACTTTAGAGGGAATGAGTTCAAACCATGGTGGTGAGCTACTTAGAATTTAATATCCTACGATTTATCTTGGAAACCAAATGTAGCAGACTGAGGTAGTTGTTCCTTGAGAATACTTGAGGTGTGTGCAAACTGGCATAGATACTCACTGATATCAAAAAACAGACAAAAAAATTCTTGGGTTTATGCTCCCAAGTTAGAAACTTGATGATTTTATATTCTAGTTGTTTTTCGAGTTGGCCCAAGAGTGATGAATAAAACCTCTTTGGAAGTTAGTGGGTAGGGCCATGAAAATAATTCGAGGACCTGCGAGATACTTAATACTCCAATTTTCCAAAACCGATGTAACCCTTTCCTTGAAGTTACGATGGATGACTACTATCTTTTATAACAGGATCCGATTGTTGGGGGCAGCCTTCTTTTGACATACACAACTGGCTATGTCGTACCGCTACTTCTCGCTGCCTCATTTGCTGGAGCATTGCAGGTAATGTGATTATATTATAAAGGAGAATTTACCAGCATATATATATCTCAATAGTTTCAGACCAGCTGAATGAAGTATATAGCCGTCTGCAATGAAGTACAAGTTTATCAGCTGACTTATAAAAAAATTTCCCCTTCGTTATTTTTGATGCTCTAATTCATTATAGATCCTCATTTTCTCGGATTTTGCTTTCTAAATAACTGTTAATGCCTGCAGAGCCTTTTGTCGTTCCGCAAGTTCTCTTCATGGATTAATCCTGTAAGGTAATTCCTTTAAACTCATACATCAACAAACGAGGTTCGACTTCAAAAATTGAAATGGTTCCGAAAAATAGTCACACGAAAAATGCACCCGAACTGTTACACTTACACTTAGATTAGTTATAAACTTCATCATCACTTGAGCTCCCAATTATGGACGGTTACACTAACACTAGATTAACTTTAAACTTCATCATTATTTAAGCTGCCAATAGTGAAGACTAAGACTTTCACTAGACTAACTTTAAAGTTCATCATCATTTAAGCTGCCAAATGTGAACATTTACAGTTACAGTTGATTAGTTTTGAAGTTCATCATCATTTAAGGTGGAAATTGTGATTGTGAATGAGTTGGATGTGTAAATGAGATATTTGAATCTGAATGGGTTTGTGTTTGTTGTTGATGCAGTGGTGCATTACTATTGGGTGGAGGTGTTTATACTTTCTTGGATAGACTGTTTCCAGTCACAATGGCAATGTAGATAACAAAAATACATACATTTATACATACATACAGTTTCATCTATGTTCATATTTTTCTGTGTTTCTTTTGTCCTCACTTACATCGATAAGTTTTTTGTTCATATTTTTCTGTGTTTCTTTTGGCCTTACTTACATCGATAAGTTTTTCCGCAACTTTAAATATCTTCTATTTAGATTTTTTTTTTCCACGAGACATTAGTAATCTTTTTTAGAAGTCAACGGTTTGAATTTTCACCTCCATCCCTAGTTTAAA